TATTCATCGATTATAGAACATTTGATTGTATACTAGTTTTGCTGTATATAGTTTATATACACCGAACTTGATTTTCTTTTCTAATTGTTTCTACTTCTTCCAAAACAATTAACCGTCGTGTATCCAAAGTTTATTCATTTAACAAGCTATCAATAACATATTTAAAGCAAAAAGAGAACACCTCTTTTATAGTTCATTCTACTGTCATAATAGTTCATTCTACTGTCATACTATTTAGGCCTTTTTAGGATACAATATTTTTCTTAATATAAGGAAGAAACTATTGTATCAAGTGTTTTTTCTTTATAAAAGTACACATTTAGAAAAAGATCTAAAAATTAGAGTAAAACGGAAGAATTTTAATTTAATAATATAGTACGTAATGGACAACACTTTTTATTTATAGTACCTTTGAATGTTTTAATATTCTTCTAGCAGTCAATTTATCGCAGATATCGTCAACAAGTGGTAGAACTGGAAGGAGGAATTAATGCGGATTTAGAAAGACTTAAAAAATATGCCAACGACTGGCATCAACCAGTTAACGAAAAGAAAACTATGTTAGTCGTATATCATCATACAGTACAATGTCCTCAACTGAATGTATACTACAATGGCACCGAGATCAATGAAGAAAAAGACTCCAAGTATCTTGGATATCGTATCGATGCAAAGATGACTTTTCGTCGCCTATTAGATGACCAGTTTTTGAAACTACATCGCTCGTATACCATCATAAAATTTGTACATCATCATTTCCCATCCTATTTTTGATTAAAACTACGAGCATTTAACACGTCTGAATGGCTTTGACAGACGTTGTTTAAGACTGATCTACTGTCTATTCCAGTATCCTGTAACAGATTTACACGAAGTATTCATGCTGCCTACATTAGAGATGAAATTCAAGAAGTGTTTAGTGAAAAGATTAAACAATATCCAACTTTATAAACACGAGATATTAAACTGCTTCTTGTTAAATAAGAATGTTGTAAATATTTGCTGCAATCACTACTGTGAAAGTATTCCAGGCCTACTAAACGGGAGACGAGGAAAGCGCTTTACGGCTTTCTGCTGTAACGAAAACAATTACAAGACTTTCTTTGATCAATTGTTAAATTTTACTTTTCCTAATAATCTAAAATAGCGGGCTAATACCTGCTTTGTAATGTATCATTTTCAGTGGTCAGGATCAAATGTGGTCAAACTACACTTTAACATAGAGAGTATATTAATAATAAAGCCTTATTCAATTCAAAAAAATGAATAATCTTTGGATACATGGCGGTTAATTGTTTTGGAAGAAGTAGAAACAATTAGAAAAGAAAATCAAGTTCGGTGTATATAAACTATATACAGCAAAACTAGTATACAATCAAATGTTCTATAATCGATGAATAAGTGGGGAATAGAGAAAAAGAGGAATAACAGAGCAATAGTCGGGAAATAGAGGAACCGACCGACAGGAATATATTTTGAAACGTTCCCTTACTTATCTTCTTACTTCTAATGGATATGGTTGTCCTTCGAGTAGATGTTCTGAACCGTTGACATTGTCCTTATAATTCCCCCAGTGAAAATGTAATTGTTGAACATGAAAGTCTTCGCTTTCTGGTGCTATATTGTACATGACATAATGTTTGTTGAAATTTAATTGAGCTAGATTAAATAATAAATGCAATTTAAAGAGAAACCTGTCAATACGTATACTCATGTATGTATACCTGTATGTCCATTATTAAGAAGTATAGGAGGATCTTAAATGAAGAGAAAGTGTTATATTGTAATAAGGTATATATTGTGTTTCTTACAATACCCGAAACTCCTTGATCTACAAAATACATTTGTTTTAATCGTTTGTCATAGGTGGATGAATTAAATACAAGATTAATTGGCGATTGAACTTTCCCTTTACAATAGACTGATTCATGTTCCCATACACTAATATTTTTGTATGACCAAACTAGAAGAGTACGTAGACAATAAGATATCCAAAATTTTTAGCATGATTTTGAATTTTATAGCGATGACAGAGATATTTCACACATTTTGCGCTACTTAGTATCGTTCTGTAATACTCAATTTCTAGAAGCGTATCGTATCTGCCTGTTAGTCGTATCTATGTACGACAAGGGTAAGTGCTCGACTTAGTTCGATCAGCATTATGGAGTGAAACAGTTTGTTTATACATACTCTATATAGAATTTAGTATGAATTTAACGTTTGTTTCGTAAACTTTTATTAAAATGTTTGTCTGATTCATAACAAAAAGCCAAAATATTAGTAGAACTTACCAGAAGCTAATATTTGATTATACTCAATAAGAAAATAAATGAGAAATACAAAATAGTATGCCATTTTTACTATGGTATCAAATACTGAGTCAGTTTACCTGAAAAGATGAAAAAAATGCAGTTATTAATGTGACTTATTTAATGTCAAAAAAATTATATTAAATATAAATATTTTATTTATGATAAAAGAGAAACTTTCCGAAATAAGCTTAACTTTTTTTATACAAAAAAAGTTAGACATTTTCCAGAGACATCCGTGATACGTTAGCATTACGAGTTGTACTCTAGGTCCAGTCTTTTTTTTGAAAAAAGCTAGGGAATAGAGAAAGATATGAGGACCACAAAAAGAGTATACATTATTATATATTCGCAAAACGAAGGAGAAGGACCAGACCAACAAAATGAACAAAAAATTAGTTTAATTTAACAAGTTACAAGTTTGTTGGTACTTTTGTAAATTAATCAGGGATGATTATTTCTCTCATTCAATGTGTATACATCACTATTTTTTTGACGAGG